GCAGGCTCCCAGCCCCGCTGTGCGGCAGAAAGTGTGTGCCCTGGGTACGTGACCTGGGAGAAGCAAGACGCTCACGCAGGCTGCGGACCGGCCATGAAGGGAGCCACCTCTGCTCCAGGCCTGCTCTGGATGGCAGCAGAGGATGCCTGCGGGTCTCCTGCCACCGGCCGGTCTCCTCCATCTGTGCACACAGCACCCAAGGGTCTCCTGCGGGGCTGGGGCTCTGGAGACCTCTCAGCAGTCCACACAAGGGGCCTTCATGCTTCTAGGACACAGGCTCCCCAAAACCAAGACTCCTGGTCACTCAGCTCCCAGCCCGTGCCTGGCGGCATCGGCCAGGGCAGGCCGGCAGGGCTGGGGGATCTACAACCGAGATGGCCTTGCTCACCATGCGCAGCTGTGGCCGTGGTGTCAGCCTCGCTCCCTCCCTGGGCTAGGTGGTTCCCACTGCGCAGCAGGCTCAGGACAGTCTACTCCTTACCTGGCCACTGGCCTCCTTGGAAGTGGCCAGGCCTCCTTCCTGCCCAAGAGACACCGTGTCACTTCCACCACATTCTACCAGTAAAGCAAGACCCGGAGCCAGCCCCCATTCAACAAGGGGAGGGAACTTCCAAGGGCCACAATACCAGGACACATGCTGGCTCATCAGGGATCACCAGGGTGACCACTGACTACAGCCTGAGCATCCTAACATCTGGATCCTGGGGCGATCTCTGCTCCTCTCTGAGCCTCAGCTCTTCATTCAAAAGTGAGTGGATTGGGCCCCTGATGGTCTCCAAGGACCTTGTATTGCCAGCTTCTGGATGGTCTCACTTCTGCCCAGCGTCCTTAGCTGGTGGCTGGGGCAGGTGTCTCTCTGTGTTCCCTCGGCAGCCTCCCTAATATCTGTCCTGAGCAGTGGTCCCTCAGGTCCACCTGGCCTCCACGTCTGCGGGAGAGTGTCATGGGAGAGAAGACAGCTGCCCTCGCCCCAGGTGACTCTTGGGTGGACCTCTGGCTGTCTGCATCCTTCCCATACCTGTCCCAGCACAGCTGCTCTTGGGGGGTAGCTTCCAAATACCTGCTCTCACCTGGGGACTGCTCCAGCCTCAGGCTCCCACCACCCAGGGCCACACCCATGTACTTAGAACCTGAAAACCTCCCAAGGACTGAAGTCCCCGGGCTCTGCTGTCCCAGAGACCTAGGAGATGTCCAAGATGGAGGCAGGGGACGGGAGAGGAAGGGGGTCAGCTGTTCTGGCACCATCACGTGTTCTGGCAGGAGCCCGAGGGAGGGGCGGTCCTAGTGCCTGGATAGGAAGTCAGCGGACAGGCAGGGGGGACTGAGGCAAACCTGCTGTCCCCATCGTCTCCCCCAGGACTGAGGCCAGTACTGTAGAGCAAGAGTTCTCAATAGGAGGGATTGTGCCCCCAGGGGACACTGAACAAGATCTGGAGACACTGGGTTGTCACAACTGGGAGGAGAGTAGTACTGGCATCTTGTGGGTCGTGGCCAGGGATGCTGTGGTGGGACGGCCCCCACCACAGAGAATGACTTGTTCCCGAATGTCGGCAGCTGAGGTTGAGACACTGGAACAGAGGAAGCCCACGCCTGGGGGCCTGGAGCCAGGCCAGCCGGGAGAAGGGCTGTGCTTGTCCTGCCTGGAGGGGCCACGGAGCAAGGTCCATGGAGCAGTGACCTCACCCATAGCCTCGGAGAGGAGCAGCCTGGGGTCCAGGCCACCATTTCTGCCTGGGCTGCTCTCCTCCATAAACCGGCCGGCCTTCCTCGGTCCCTCCCTGGTCCCTGGCCTTCCTTCGTCCTCTGCCCCTTGGCCCGGATCGCCGTGCGCTGTGTTTGGGCTGCTGAGGCTCTGCCCGCCCCGAGAGCCAAGGCCTGCAGCGCGTCTCGTGTCCCCCAGCCAGGGTGGGCACCCAGCAGACACACCCCCGGGAGCCACACGGGCTATTCCCTGGACTGAATCGGCCTGACAGTAGACGGACAGACAGACAAGAATGTGCAGGCCTTGGCTTTTATTGAGATTTGAGGGCTCCCAGGCCTCTCGGGAACTAGATTCTCTGCTCAGCCCAGCCTCCCGGGTGCAAGTGGCTGACTTGACTTTGAGCAGGCTGCCAGGGTATGGCCCTGCTTCTCTCTCTCCTGTTCCCCCTCGAGACCTCCTCCTCCTGAGCCCTCACATTTCCCCAAGCTGGCCCTGGCTCCAGTGCCGTACGGCTGCCTGGGCCATCTCAGTGTGCAGGGGCCGCTGCTGGGGGCTGAGCCCTTCCGATTTGGATCTGCCTCCTTGGCCATCCTTCCCCTCCTGTCCCCACGCCTGGCACTCGGGATCCTACAGCCTCTCCAGGGCCCCAGAGCGGGTTCTCTTGCACAAGGGACACGTGGCCTCCTCTGAGGCCCCCCAGGACCTCTTGGGCCTGAGCCCCAAGCCCTGGGGGGGACCGGGCTGGGAGGGGGCATCCTTGGCTGGGTCCATGCTGGAGCTGGAAGCTGAGGAAAGAGGAAAGAAAGGAGTCAGAGAGGAACCCAAGGGAGGCTGGAGGGGAGGGTGGCAGCACCCCTAGGGTCCCCAGATCCTGACTTCCTTAAGAACAGAAGGGGAGGGGCAGTAATTCTTCCTTAAAACCCTCGGGGGAGGGAATAGGAAGAGGGAAGTGAATGGTTCAGCTGGAAGGACCCTCATCTAACCTGAACCGTCATTTTCAAGTGGGGAAACTGAGGCCCCACGAGGGAGAGAGTTGTCCAAGGTCCTGCATCAAGTGCAGAGCTGGGACAGGAACCCAGAACTCGGTCCCAGAGCCTCCTGTCTGCCTCACAGCCCTTTGCCCCCGCTGGCACAGGGTGGGAGCAGATGCGTTAGGATCTTAGCCTCCTGGGGCGTGACGTCACAGTGGAGGTCTCCACCAGGCTCCCTCCATAGGAGGCTTGGGAGGGCAGAAAGGTCCATCTGAGTCCCTGGGGTCTTCCCCTCTGTGCCAGACCTGCCTCAACAGAGCTCACCTGTGTTTCCCAGGCTGTCCCTGGGCAGTTGGGCTTCCAGAAGGGCTGAGCAGTGGCTGTTACCTGGGCCCACAGTCCCCTTTGGCAGGTCCAGGGGCCAGGCTGTGCCCTCAGGCTGTGGCAGGCAGCCTCCTGCCATGAGCTGGCCCAGCCAGTGGCTCTCACACTGGCCGGCGGGCTGCATGTGGCCCTGCAGGTAGAGAGCCAGGCCCCGGAGGTGGCGCAGCCGGAAGTTCTTGGGCTTGCTTCCCTGGGCACTGGGGCACTGCTGCTGCTGGGCCCCCAGTCCCCCCTCGTAGATGTTGGCTGGTGTGTCGGGGTGGCTGGGTTGTCCGTGGGCCCAGCTCACTGCATCTGCAGAGGGGAGAGCAGAAGGGTGGTGGCCAGCTGGCCACAGCAGCTGTGACAGGAGAACGCAGTCCCATGCCTCTGAGACCAGCTCACATGGGGGGCTCCACCCCCAGTCTGCCCAGCCTCAGCTTAGCTGTCTATCGAGTGGGTGCGGTCCCTTCCCTTCCCACTGCCTGTGCCCAACACATTGCTCCTCTTCCTTCTCCCAACCAGCAGGGAGGTCTGTGAGGCCTGGGACCTTGGTACCAAGGTCCCTTTTAGGACTTAGAGCACTTTATTCCACCCTGTTGTGTCCTCTGCCCTAGAAAGAGTACTCTGGTCCCAGGAGAGAAATTGCACAGTGGGTTCAGGAGGAAGTGACCCGCCCAAGCTTACATGGCCTGGGTCAGTGACCACTCCCCTCTCCTAAGCATACATGTCCCTGAGGCCACCCCGGTGGATTTGGGGCCCAGATAGGGACAGGAGGACATCTATTCTCCTGCCACTCCTCCCCACAGCTGGGCACCTTCTCCTATGTGCAGCTCAGAGAATGCACAGACCAAGGCTTCCATAGAGGGCCAGTGTGGTGGGGGAGGAGCGGCCAGGGCCCTGCTCTCCCCTGCATAGGGGGTGAGTCTGCAGGTCTCCCATGGCAACTGGCTCTTATGACGTCACAGGGAAGACTCTCGGCCTTCTAGTTTGGGGGAGGATGATGCCCAGGGCAGGAAAAGGGCACAAGAAGGTGACACAACCCCAGGGGAAGCACTGGTCCCTTTGGCTTGGGACAGGCCACCGAAAACAGACTGAGCTCTGGCTGGAAGTCACTCTCTAGGGTGATCTCTCGGGGTCAGCTTCCTCACCTGGGGGTGGGAAATGAGTGTTCAGGGACACAGACCTGATGAGACCTGGGTCGGTGCTTTGAATATGCTGAAAAAATAATTCAGAGTGACTGGGCAAGTAACTTAACTTTTCTAACTCTTCATTTTCCCCTAAGTCAGTTACCATGTATTGTGTGGGTCACACCAACTGTTTACAAGGATGTGGAGGAACTGGAATTCCCATACACACTGGTAGGATTGTAAAATGGTACTACCACTTTGGAAGGCAGTTTGGCAGTTTTTTAAAATGTTAAACATTCAATTTTCTCTAATCACAGATGACATGATCTTATACATAGAAAAAACTAAAGAATCCACACTCAAAAGAAAAAAAAAAACCTAGTAGAGCTAATAACGCAGTAGAGCTTTATTACAGCTAATAAAATTCGGAAACATCTCATAATATAAAACCAACACACAAAAGTTAGCTGTATGTCTAGACACTAGCAAAGAACAAAAAAGAATAAAACAGAAATAAATTTAACCAAAGAGGTATAAGAGTTAACTCTGAATACTACTAAACATTGCTGACAGAATCTAAAAAAGACTTAAATAAATAGAAAAACATCCCATGTTCATGGATTGAAGACTTAACATTGTTAAGATGGCGATACTCCCCACAGTGCTCGATGCAATCCGTAGCAAAGCCAAAACGGCCTTTAGGTAGCGTATTTGAGCTCCCCAGAGAAACAGATCAATAGGATAGACAGATAGATAGATACTTAGAGAAGATTTATTAGGGGATAAATAAATCTCTTAAGATTTATTAGGGGAATTGGCTCATGTGATCATGGGGGCCAAGAAGTTCCACAATCTGCCATCTGCAAGCTGGAGAACCAGGAAAGCCAATGGTGTAATTCAGTCTGAACCTGCAGGCCCGAGAACTGGTGATGGTGACGGCTTGTGTTAGTCCAAAGACCCAAGAACCATGAGCTGCAATGTCCAATGACAGGAGAAGGATGTCCCAGCTTAAGAAGAGAGAGTGAATTTCTGTCTTTTTGTTATCCTCAGGCCCCCAATATTAGGTAATGCCCACCCACATTGGTGAGGGCAGTCTTCTCGGTCTACCCCCTCAAATGCTAATCTCTTCTGGAAATACTCTCACAGGTTCCCCCTGAAATAATGTTTTACCAGCTATCTGGGCATCCCAGTCAAGTTGACACATAAAATTAACCATCACAGGCAGAAATGGAAAAGCTGACCCTAAAATTCATGTGTAATTATAGGGCAGCCCAAATAACCCCAACAATCTTTTTTTATTTGTCTTTTTAAAAAATATTTTTAGCATTCTGTACACTGATACAAAAGTAAAAGAAAATGACTGAGACTTAAATGTGAAAGAACACTTCACAATTAAATCCACAATTTTATACATTCATCTTACTCGTAAGTCATGAAAATTGTCAATTATTAGAAAAACAGGACAAATTATATCATGAAAGAACCAATAAAATAGAAAAAAAATTTCATAAAAATATATCCGACTCTGGAAAGTATTGCTCTCTTGGTGTCTTCACATCCTTCTCTTCTCTGTACTTACGTACAACACGTTTCCTGGGATAAATGCATCCCCACATTTATGCTTCACTTGTCCACTTACATATACTTCTGTCTGCTCCAGGGCTATATTCATGTAGCCATCCAGGCAGGCCAGGACCCTTCGATAATCCACTCCAGGATTTTTTTTTAATTATTTAAGACCTTTATTAACAGGTGCCACTCCAGAATTTAATTTGACCACAACTGGCCATCAGATGATTTGCTTTAAGAAGTCACTAGGGGTGTGTGTCCGAAGATTCATCTTAATAATCCCTGAGGCCGGGATCGAGAGCCCTTACTCCAGGCACCCCACAAAACCAGCCTCTGCAGACGATTGCAGTGAAAAACCCAACCGCAGCAATTTTGAAAAAGGAAAACAAAAGTTTGAGGACTCACAGTAAGATTTCAAAACTTACTGCAATCTACAGTAATCAAAACAGTGCGGAACTAGCATAAGGATAGACATCTAGACTAGTGGAGTAGAATAGAGAGCCTAGAAATAAACCCATACATTTGTGGTCAACTGATTTTCACAAGGGTGCTAAGACCATTCCGTATAGGAAAGAATAGTCTCTGCAACAAATGGTGCTGGGACAACTGGATAGCCACATGCAACAGAACGAAGTTGGAGCCCTACCTAAGACCCTGTACAAAAATTAACTCAGAATAGATCAAAGACCTAAATGTATGAGCTAAAACTATAAAATCTTTAGCAGAAAATGTAGGGATTTGGCAATAGATTCTTAGATATGACATAAAAAGAAAAAATAAATAGGCTGAGTGCAGTGGCTCACTCCTATAATCTTAGCACTCTGGGAGGTCAAGGTAGGAGGATTGCTTGGGCTTGGGAGTTTGAGACCAGCCTGAGCAAGAGTGAGACCCTGTCTCTACTAAAAATACAAAAAAAACAGCTGGGCTTTGTGGCATGTGTCTGTAGTCCCAGCTACTCAGGAGGCTGAGGCAGGAGGATCCCTTGAGCCCAGGAGTTTGAGGTTGCTGTGAGCTATGATGATGCCATGGCACTCTAGCCAGGGCAATGGAGTGAGACTCTGTCTACAAAAAAAGAAAGAAAGAAAGAAAGAAACTGTCACAGTCCAGAGAAACCTAAAGAGACCCGACAGCTAAATGTAATGCAGGGTCCTGAATAGAATCCTGGAATAGAAAGAGGACGTTAGGTAAGAAGTCCACTAAAAATGGACTTTAGCTGACTATAACGTATCCATATTAGTTCATTAGTTGTGATAAATGTATTCATGTAAGATGTTAACAATAGGATGAAGGGGAGGATAGACGGAGTATAGGGAATTCTCTATACTATCTTTGCAACTTCTTTATAAATCTAAAGCTATTCTAAAATTAAAAGTTATTTAAAAAGAAAAACAGCATTAAACATTCACTTGCCTCATGACTCTGACATGCCATTCTTTGGCATTCAAGAGAAAAGAAAGAGAAAGGAAAGCGTGTATCCATACAATGCTTTCTACATGGATATTCTTACCAGCTCTATTTATAATAGCCAAAACCTGAAAATGCCCAAAAATGGGTGATAGGTAAATAAACTGTGATATGTCCATATAATGGATATACTATTCAACAATAGAGAGAAACGAATTATTGAAACACATTACTATATGGATGAATCTTAGTGATGCTAGTGAAAGTCACCAGATAAAAAGGAGCATGATGTAGCATCATTCGTTCACAAGAAACTGTAGAAACAGGCAAATCTATACTGACAAAAAGCAGAACAATGGTTGCTTGGGGATGGGGGGATGGCAAGGAGGGCCAGAAGGAAGGAATTACCAAGGCGCGGGCACAAGAAAATGTTGGGGTGATGGATTTCCCAGGGCTATTGACTCTTCTGTTGATCTGTCTTGCTGCTGGGTGTGTTATCCTAAACCTTGATTGGCACAAGTATTTCTGTACATGATTTCTGAATTTGCAGAAGCTGATCCCTCGGATCACCTACAGGGTACAACTAATAGCTCTGCACTCAGAGATCCCATGTTTCTTTTCTAACCCAGCCGTGTATCGGACATTGTGTGCAAGGTGACAGTGCATTTCAGCTTGTCAGTCCTCATGGTTGTAGTTATTGCCTGTGCCCTTTTTCACCTGACAATTTGTACCTCCCACCTAAAGCATTGCCCCAATTCAGCAGGAAGTAGCTCAATGACTATGTCACCCCCTCCTCCCATCGAGGTGAAAGGGTAAAATTGACAGTGGGGAATATGTAACAGAGAGAATGGCCTGAAAAGGGGTAAAAATGTTTTCTGGCTCTTCAGAACCCCTCACCCTTTTTGAGAATTAAAACCTACATCCCCGCTTCAGGCCAGTGGTTGGGAGGGGCAGGGGATGTCCTTTGCTCTTTGTACCATAGGAAATGGCTCGAGGGAATTGTCCAGGCAGAGGTCATGAGATTGTCTTAATTGAAGATGGGATTAACTGGAGGTCACAAGATGGTTTTAGCTGAAGATGGGATTAATCAGAACCATCCCCTTTAAAAGCTCTATTTCTGCTCAGAAACAGGACATTGGTACTTTAAGACAAGAATCTGCCAACCTCTTCATTTGTCGGCAGATTAATAAACTTCTCTTTCTCCTCAAATCATTTATCCTTGTTCTTCTGATGCGGCCTCAGGGTCAAGTGGTGAACTTTCAGTAACAAGCCAGCATGATCAGAAAGTCTCCTCTGCCTTAACCCATACAAGGAAAAGTAACCTGAAATAAACTGATGTTAACCAACGGTTTTCTGCTCCATGTCGTTTCCTTGTTCCTGCTCAAGGAAACCCACCGTTCTGCTGTGCCCTACTGATGCTGCCCCATTTGTCAGAGCCTAATAAATGCTAATTCAATCATTAAACTCAATTTGTTGAAATTTTGCTTTTTAATAATTGCCTTTGAAGGGCAGAAGTTTTCTATTTTGATGAAGTCCAGTGCATCCCAAAAGAATTTTTTTTAGGGATTGTGCTTTTGGTATACCTAAGAATTCTTGCCTCATCCAGTCACAGAGGTTTTCCTGCAAATTTCCTTGAGAAAATTTATAGTTTTAGGTTTATGAACCATTTTTAATTGATTTTTGTATATAGTGCCAGGTAAGATCGGAGGTTCATTTATTTGCGTATGGTTTTCTCCATTAAGTGTTCTGTCACCTCTGTTGGACTGACCACGTATGTGTGGAGCTATTTCAGGACTCTAAGTGCCACCTATGTAAGCGTCTACTACTTAGCCAATACCACCAAGGAAACGGTAGAGGGCGTCCGCTGGCAGATCCACCTTCCTATCGGTGAAACGACCTCTATAAAAATAATGTAAGCCCATAAGGCAGGAATAATGATAAAAGAATGATTTCTACAGAAGTATAGATATAGTTAAAAGTTAACCAGCCATTGTTCCCTAACTTCCCTACTGCTGTAGCTGCTTACTGCTTATACATATAGTTAAAAGTTAACCATCCATTGTTCCCCAACTTACTTACTGCTGTAACTACTTATTGCTTAAGAGTCACATATTCTTGACAAATGCAAGATTTGTGACTTCCCCAACCACTTCTATAGATAACATGGCTATTGTAAAACCTATGACTGGTCTTTGAGATAAATTCCAGACTCTGCATTGGGATAGGGAGGAATTGGGGACCAACTGACGTCAATGAAATGATCCAACAAGTCCTGCTGCCCCCTACCCAGGAACTCCTGTTTACCAAGAAGACAATTTCTGCTTCCAAACCCTATGAGTTCATCCCCAGCCAATCAGCAGACCCAATTCCCTAGCCCTTTATTCTTCAAATCACCTTTAAAAATATTTGCCCCCCAATTCTCTGGGAGATGGATTTGAGAAATTACTACCAGCTCCTGCCTGGTGCCATGGGATATTAAACCCCGTCTCCGCTGTAACTCCCGCTGTCTCAGTATACCGGCCTTTATCTGGGTAGCGGACAAGGAACATCTGCCCACCCTGCCATGCCGGGCTCATTTCGCCACCACCTCCAGCCCTTCTCTGTCTCCTC